TAAGACTCATGTATAGGGCCTAGTACTCCAGGGAAAATAAAACTTTTTATTCAAATTAAGTAAGACAACTTGTAGGCCTAACAACAAAGTTAACAGTGATAATTTCAAATTTTAAACAAAATTAATTTTAATTCCACTCTGTGAAATGGATGCCTTGGGATATCTCCATGTCTGTACGCCACTGTAGTTGATAATTTCAAATTTTAAAAAAAAATTTTTTAATTCTACTCTCTGAAATGGATGCCCGGGAGCCATTGCTCTGTCTCTGGATGAACTGTCTTCAGATGTAATAATGTATATCTATATATATAATATACCTCTTATCATGTTGTTGATAGACTATGTAAGTACATGTACATATTATTATACCATAATTACAATTTTGATCTCCTAGGGGAATTAGGGTGTGATTTTTCCCACATTTTAAATATATATTATATGTATTATGTACAGTGGATAATTTGAAATATTTATAATATGTATACATGTACAAATGTTTATCTTTTCTGTGATCTATTTTCTATGTGTCTTAAATTTACTTCATTAGTTAAATGTACAGTGATTGATAGAGTTTATGTTACATGTTTATATTATAGGTATTATAGAGATATTTAATACTGGACAGGTATTATATTGAAATTCTTAATATAGATCCCGGTATCATATTTAAGAGTGTAATTAAAGGGAGTGCTACAAATCTAGATACTATTCAAATTCAGATGGAATGAAGATCGGAAAATTGGGTGGTTAAAGGGTCATCAGGTCTGTCATTTAGTCAATATAAAGCACAAATATTCGTAAATTATAGAGACATGGATCAAATAGGCATTGTTTAATTGACATTTGGGCATGAACAGACTTGTGATTTGGGTACGCATAAAACAAGAAAACATCTACAAAACTTACAGGAATTAATATTTTGTTTACATTCTAACCATAACCAAACTGCCTGTTTATTTACTGTATGAACCAAGTACCGGTACATAGCGGTGCTTACAGCAAGTCATGACACTTTATAATTTTTCAGTACCATTTATATTAATAAATTATTATAAGCTACATAGAAAACTTTTGATGTTAGCTGAGAAAATGTTATATTAAATGTTTTGTGATAATGTATAAATTATTCATAATAGATTATAGAATATTATATGTTAGCCGATTCACTGTTATATCACTATTTATATTATATATTTCCTTATTTCTGTAAATTATGTGTAAATAATCCACTATTAAACTCAGAGAAACAAGAGATTATATCTATTTATAGGGTTTGTAAATATTTAATTATTAATTAATATTTATTTGTGACCTCACTGTACCATCCATATTCATGTGATGTAATTTTTCCCTCATTATGTGTGATGTTTTGAACTTGAGAGATTGACCTTGGGTAGGCCTAGTTATAATTTATTCTAGTTGTTGTTATGGTGTTAAGATAGTGAGTTGTTTGTAAGTTAAAAGTGATGCCAATTTCAGATAAAAACGGCCTAACCAATTTTTGACCAATCTTCTATAATGACCAATACATAATCCATGCACTGTGTGCATAGTTAAAAACGGCAGCACTCATAATCTTTTTAAAATGTATGCATTGATTGGTTACTTTATTTAATTTTAATCAAATATAATTTGGCTGTACTTTGTATTCTATTATTGGAAACTGTTCAAGCTATTCAAAATGTTAGAGTAGGCCTACTACAGTGGTTCCGAACCTTCTGTTAGTTGCGACCCCATTCCAGAAACCAGCATCTGATCATGACCACTCGAAGAACAAAGTCACCTTTTACTATGAAACATCATTATTTACATTTATTATTCTTTTACCTATTTGACAACTTATTGTTTATATTTAACACCTATACAAAAATGGAGGAAAGACGATTGATAATGTGGCAAGAGGTGTATAGATCAGAGATTCATATGCTTTTCATGAAAACAAAGCATTTTTTCAAAAATTTCAGTGTTGTCCTTCACAACCCCATAAAAAGTGCTTGGCGACCCCACCTGTGGTCGTGACCCAGAGGTTTGAACCCAGTGCCTACTATAAGAGAAAAGGTTGCTACATGTATTTGTTACAGAAATTAAATTTATAGCTTTGGGAAAACTACAAAATTTCAACACTTACACCCCAAACGAATAGCCTGAACGACACAGCTGAAAGAAAATGATAAAACATTTATTGCTCCGTCAGCGTAGGTGAGCAGGTAGGTTGGGATATATCCATGGGGGGGGGGGATTGGGTGGCCGAATGGTTAACGCGTGAGTGTTGGATCAGAAGGTCTGTCATTGAGTCAAGTGGCATGGTTTCTTTTCCCCCTATTGTATGTGACAAGGCGTAGGGTCACCTGTCCAACCTTGTGTGTTTCCCCTGGGACCTCAAGTTTACTCCCACTACTAAAGATCCCTACACGCAAACAAATTATTGAAATAAAATTGAACCATATGTAAGTCTTGCAATGACCTAGTTTGTGTCGAGTTGACGTTCGCCCCATTTCTCTCTATCAACAGGTTATTCGTTTGGAGGCAAGTATTGAAATTTTGCGACGGTCTCTTATAATAGTTCAATTGAAAAGGTATTGCTCATGTAATGTGACATGCATGTCACAAGGTTATACATACAGCCATTGGAAGAAACTGGCATCACTTAATGTTTAAATTATCTTCTCCATTTGTCCTGTTGGTTCACATTTATCAGATTTTATCCATTACTGGTTGTATATTATGAATTTATTATTATTATCTTCTTGTGATGTGTTTTTTTCAAAATAAAAGATTCACACTGTTCTGTAAGTACAAAGTGTTTTGGTCGTCAATTACTCTTGAAAAATGTCTAGCCTTTTACAATAAATCTTTACAATTTACAGTCGGTCAAAAACTGATGGCAGCAATGGATATGGGAAACCCAGAGTACAAGCAAACTAGAACTAGATTAAATTTAAACAGTGAGCAATTTCCAAACTTAAAAATGGTGGTTATTCATCCCATATGAACTACTAGATGCTGAAAATCCTAAGGAACTATCTCGGCCAACACCAATGAAAGGCATGTTTGATAACAAACGTGGATAGTGCATGGCATGGCATAACATCCAATTAAATGTATAATAATTGAACAATGCTTGCTGTGTTATGCGAAGAGCAAACTTGTATGTTCAGTCTCCTTGTATTCTAGCCCAACTACTGGATAATGTAAGCGTCGAGTTCAGGGATTTGTGCAATAGGGGAGTGGTGGGGGGGGGAGTTCCAAGATGGAAACAACATAAAATTTGACTTGAGTATGGGGGTTTATCTGTGAATTTTATATCATTAGAAGCTCATTTGATGCATACATGTATAGGATTTAGAGTGGAGTGAGGCCAAAACGGTAATGCTCTGGAGATGCATTTGAGTCTAAATAATTAACAGAGGCAAATTCAATGGGGGGCGCACCCCCCCCCCCCCCTAATTTTCGACAGTGCCCTTTTTTACTGCTGAAAGTGCCTTTTCTCAGACTCAAATATGTCCGTTCCCAACCTGTTGTAGGGATCCCAAATGACTCAAACCATCGACTCAAACACACCAGTCTGGGAAATAGCTCTTGGAATGGCTACAGATGCAAGGAAATAACGGATAAATTTCTTGGGACCCCCCCCCCCCCCTCAGCGGTATGCCCCGTCTCCGCGGTCAATGCCTTCTATTTGCAGCGCCCCCCACCCCTTTTCAAAATTCCTAGATCGGCCCCTGATTAATAAAGCAAAAGATATCAACAATGCTAAGAAATAACACCTCAAGACTGAGGTAGAGTATCTCTGTATGTCTTGTGTGTTAAAAAAAAATTGAGGCATAATAAATTAATTCCCTAGATCCACTACGCTACTGTACTGGGTAAAATCTGTGAAAGAATGGGATTTTCGTATAGTGTACAACATGACAGTTTTTGTCAATTTCTGTAAATTTAAGATGCATAAGACTGGTGATATCATGTAAGAACAACTTTATGCCTGTCAATAATAATTCTGATCTTCACAGTCATTGGCATTGCACGAGAAACATTAGGTTAATGCTAACAGTCGTGATAGACCAGTTTTATAGTTTATGCTATTTGATGTAAGGGAGACAAATGCAAATAACAATAATATAGTTATCTCCCTTACACTCTTCAGTTTCTGAATTCTACAGAATTGATATACATATATCCAATAGGCCTACTAAAATAACAAGCCGTAACCACGTCAAGCTTCCCAAAGAGTATATTAGCTTTTTCCTGGAATTTGAGAATCTTTATATAAGGGAGACAATTGCAAAAAACAGAAAATGTAGTTATCTCCCTTGCATTGTGAGATTTTCTTCAGTGGCTTGATTCAGATCCATATTAATTAACAGAATTGATATTTATATTCTACAGAAATAACATTAATTCCTTTGATTTAAGTTATCACTTTACTAATAGAGACAATGGAGACTTTCAACAATTTGCAAGATGTGTTGATTTTTATTATTTATTCAGGATTAGGTCTACAGGTATAAAACATAATTATATACAAAGTTAACAAATACAAAGTCTTCTGTTAACCGCTTATCTATAATAAATCAGAGACTGAAGTGGAAACGTGTCGATTGTTCTACTTAAGCTAGCCTAATAATAATCTCTTATTACGAAATCCATTAAAAGTTTTTGTCGGGACAACTTTAAATATGATAAGGGAGACTACCCCAGGGTACTGATTTTAATGACAAAATATTTTTCTTAATTTATGCAGAGACCTGTGCGGGCTTTCGGATGTTGGACGGTTTTAAAAGGTATTTTATAAAATAATGTTATACAATTACATTTAAATCCTGATTACGGCTTTGAATTATTTTTATAATATTTCTATCCTTTTGTTTTTTAAGCAACGGTAGGGTATATTTAAAGATTACAGCATCTAAAAAAGTTCCAAGAATCCTTTCGAGTCTCTTCCATTAGATTGGTTCACTTGATTCAAGGCAAGACCGCTGTAATTGGAACGGGATTTGTCATTTTCAGATACTGGTCACATTTGTCTTGCATTCATTATTGTCTATGAGCATTCGTATTCCAATTAGAAACAAGGGTCCCGCGTTGTAGCTCCTGATTTTCTTCAAAATATTGTGTCTATTTTACAGGAGTTTTACAGGAGAAGATCAAATAATCAAGGCGTAGATAATCTTATTCATGCACAGCCCTGTTCAGCCAATCAAGTGCAGTCGTTGGACAAAATGGAGAACCAGAAGGGAATAGCGCTCAGTAAAGTGAGTTTACTTTTGTTTTTCTTTGCTTTGAAAACGTGAACAATAGTCAGGAGTTCGATTTTTTTGCACGTACAACTTTCTATTTGAATCACATGACTTGCGTGATCACGAAACGTGCATATAGACTTCCTTTTTAATAATTAGGTCAGTTCAAAGAATTTTCCCACCATTTACTATTCTATTTATAGATTGATTACGATACAATGTAGATTGACCCCTTGCTAAAGTGAAAATAGGTTGACACTATTATGACAGTCTTTCTCTCCATAGTTACATACATGTAGGAAACAATTCAGAATGATTTTATACTCTATTTCGTTTCGTCTTGTAGTAGTACAGTACTTTGACTTTAGTAAAATTCTCTCATCGCTGCTTCGTCAATATGCATTGTTGCTTTTGTTGTCATTGTAATGATGAGAGAGACAGGGGAGGGAGAGTTTAAAGGAGCTAAGTCTCAAACTCAATATTTTCCATAATATTCAAAATTAAAAATATGAATTAGAATTCAATATTGATCAATTTCAATAAATATTTATGTTGTTATCTTGCCGTGAAACTAATAGGACCGTAATATTCAATATTTAAGATGCAATTAATTAACATTTTAATTTTATAATCAGTACAGGGGTTCGTGTACCCTATGGTTTTGGGTGCCATTTTGTAATGAACTGTTTTTGTTTTACTTCAAGGTTAAAAAAAAAAGAGCCCTATCATATAGACTATGCTCTTTAATGTCCACTGGACACAAACTAGGTCATTCGGGACTAACATATTGTTCTAGTTTATTTTGATAATTAGTTTGAGCATCTAGTAGCACGACATTTCAGTCCCACAATCTTTCGGATTCAGTTTGACCACTATGGTTCAGACTTATTGACGACTTATCGGACTCAGTCTGGCGACGTTTTGACTTGGTTTCGAATGAATAAAAATAAATACCGGTAAGTTGTTGAAAATTTGTGTGTCTATATTAGTAATATTTTATTTTGGTTTTATGCGAGGCAGACCACAGTTTATTAACAATAAAAAAGAAATAACATTGTTAATTGTCTTTTATTTATTGCAATAACGACTACTGTCTGAGTCTTGGTAAATTTTAAACGGATTTCTTCGATTATGAACAAACTACTTAACTTTGGTTAATATAAACTTACCTGTGTGTTTGTAATGAACTCCCGTTCGATAAAATCCATTGCACAACTAATTATCACAACGATGAGAACAAGTTCTCTCTTGAAAAATTTGAAAATTTACTTGTAATTTCGACAGAGTCGATGTCAACAATGTCTTCGTGACGTATTGGTCGAATCCAATATACCTGTTGCGGGGGTTGGTTAACATTGAAAGATAGTTTGACAGCGCGATCATTTTGATCGTATATGGGTTTGGGCGACGAAAAATATCAATTAAAGTTATTTGAAATGGATTGGGACTTATATTCAGTGGATCTAATGGTTTGGATTTGCATTTGATATTGCTCGTCTTGTAACTTGCTGCCCGAGTGAGGGTTTAGTAGCTGCTGCAGGAAACCAAGAGGCACCACACCAAGTAACTAACCTCTTGGGGTCTGAGAAGATAATGCTCCAGAAGTTTTTACATGTACCTGAAAAAAAATGTTTATCAGTACCAGTGCACAAAGTTTGAGTGATTTGAGTATCAGCTTGCAGTGCAAGCAACTTATATTTGTCTACATTAGACACACACACACATGACTAACTTTTGACAATTTCATGTTGGTGTCAAGTTCAAAATGGGAAAGGATGTGATGGTGGGGATGGATGGTACATGTAACTTTAACACGTGCACATGAAATAACAAGGTCTGTCATTGAGTCAAGTGGCTGGGTTTTGATTCCTGGCTTGAACGTGACAAGAAGTTAGGTAATCTGTCCAACCTTGTGGGTCCTCCAGTTTCCTTCAACTGCTAAAATACCTACCGCACATACAAATGATTAAAATACAATTGAGCTATATGTTAGTCCCAAAATGACCTAATTTGGGTCGAGTAGATGTTAATCCCCCATCTTAAGCCTAAACCAACTATGAACATTAAAGATTATATTCAACTTAGCCTACAATAAAGTAATTATTCATTATAGTAATAAATAAATTATTTTCCAGGTTAGTCCAGCATTTCTAAATGCCAACAGTACTAGTCATACCTGGGCTTTTAGTGCAATAGCAGAAATAATAGGTAAAATACTAATTTCTTCTTTGTTATAATAAATTTGTAATTTATTAGTTATTTGATTGGTTAAATTATGCCACAAATATGCATGGAATTGTATGCAGGGCAGGCCAAATTTGGAAATAGAGAACTGGCCAACCAAGATGCTGATGCCTTTATAAAGAAATGCAATTTTTCGCACAACTTAGCTGGAATTATTTTCTAATTTGGTCAGCTAGGTACATGTATATTGCATCACTGTCAGTGCATTCCATCGTGTAGTTTCATAAACGAGATGATATGGTGTGTGTTTGATGAACAGGAAATGGCAGTACAAGCCAGTCTGTTTTTTGTTAACCTATGGGTCATTTTAATATATAAATATATCATCTATTTCCATAGCAATATATGATGTCCTATCTAATAAAACTTGTTACGAATTTGAAACCAATATTAGGTCATGGCCATAATATTGTTACAACCCACACATACCTTTATGCTCTCATGGTCATGATCATGTTTTAAACTGTTCGATTGGCATTTAAGAAATTTTTGACAGTATAAAGATCCATTCTCCATTCAACTAAATGAATACATTTAATCTCAAACGATTTTGTCTTGACCATCCAAAGTGAATATTTTGCCTTTTCAAAACAATTTCTATATCTAATTTATTAATTAGTTTATGAAATTTAGACCAAATTTTACTAGAGTAATAACAGTAGTAGAAAAGATTATTTTATTTGTTTTCAATGGCGGCACTGCAGAAATCACACAAGTTAGAAGGCTTTAATTTCCATTTGAGTAAAGTATCGTTTGTATATATTATATTATGTAAATACTTATACTAAAATGTTCTAAGTTTTGTGTCCGGTAAAATTTCATAAATTAATTTAAAATATTTATGAAAATCATCGATAGTGATGACATCATTTAAAGACCTCTGCTATTTTGAAATCGATGTTGGATTAGTAAGTTTTTCTAGGATTAATTTATTGTACACATCTTTAGATTTAATTTTACAGATTGAATTATTGTATATTATGTTTAATATTTTATTAAGATAGTCACAGATTGATGTCGGGTTAGGATTATAGATACAAGTGGAAAGGTTTAATAGCTTTCCTACTTTCGACTTGATACCTTGAAAAGTTAATTTATTTTGTTCACTGTTATAGTTATCAGTATTTAAATCTTTTACATATACAATATTATCATTTAATAGATTTGAATTGTATATTAGCTTGTTGTTTATTATTATATTTTTATTATTCCAAATAAGTTGATCTTCAAGATTATCAATAGTATCAATGTGGCTTGTAAATACATCTTCCCAATTTTGATAGAGAATTTTATAGAATGTTGGTAGTTGTATTAGTGTCGATTTATAGTTACACATTGGCAATATTGACCATCTGAACTTCCCTTTCCCAAAATGTTGCTGTCTTATAGATTTCATCAATATCAGGAAAAGGTTAATGCAAGTGGGATGGTTTAAATATACATGTAGGTACATGTAAAAAAAAATGCAAGCCAATTTGGAAGATGCTAATTGTAGGCCGGTTGGGGAGGTTTAGTAATGTCTGAAGTCCACAATGGCCGCTTTATATAAATAGAGTATTTTGGGGAATACTAACCTTAAACCTACATGTACTGTATACCCAAAATACAGCCATTGTGGACTCTGGAAATACCTGAACCTCCCCAACTGGCCTACAATTAGTATCTCCCAGCCAATAATTGTCCCTTTTAGCTAAAAAATGTTATGTACATGCACTTAGTTCAGATATGGCACCTATTGTTTATTAAGGACTGGACAAACTTAAGACATCATAAACTAGAGATTTGGTAACTTCTTACAAGCCTCGAATGAATACTGACAAATTGTATTTCATGATACATGTACATCATGTATATAGATATTGGAGAGCTTCTGATAGTACCCATATGTACATGTTAGCTTATATAACAGTATAATCATATGAATGGGACGAAAAACTGAGATCTTATGTACACATTGACATGCACGTAAAAGAACCTTTGCAGTTTGAGCTCGATATAAGAGTAGGCCGTAGTGCCACTTTCAAGGCAAAATTACACACTATATGACTTGTGTCCATCTTCATTAGCCCAGTTGGATTAGAACAACAGGACATTAAACCCATTATTTCATTTCATATAACAACGGTCTAGCATCATAGAATTAAGCAGTTTTATTCTTCAATTCACCATATGTTTGGTGCAATATAGCCCAGTTGGAGCTGATGTGTCATAAAACCAATTCATTCATTTATTCTTCAAAAATTTTAAAAGTATGTTTTGTATGAGTATATGGACGTTAATCTCATTTTTTTTTTTTTTAGACAATGCCTATGATCCTGATGTTAATGCTTCTGAATTATGGATTGATAAGATGGAAGAAGGTGGTAAAACCTGCCTCACTTTCACTGATAATGGAGCTGGATTGAATGCTGATAGGTTGTTAAAAATGTTAAGGTGAGGACAACAAACGGCACGAATCACGACAATAAAATCTTGTGTAGATATCAAATCAAACCATTCTTTGCATTATTTGATGTCACTAAAATTCCTGTTTATTTTTTATAGTTTTGGATTTTGTGAAAAAGCAAAATATGAGTCAAAATCTGGACACAAGCCTATTGGTCACTATGGAAATGGTTTTAAATCAGGATCTATGAGAATTGCCAAAGATGTTTTAGTATTTACTCATCATCTGAAGGAAATGAGTGTTGGAATGTTGTCACAGACATTCCTTAGTAAAACCAAGGCAGAAACCGTAGTTGTGCCTTTAGTTACTTGGAACAGTATTACAAATATCCTTTTTATATACCCTTTCTATAATTACTTCTTCTAGAGTGATGTCCCTTGTTCATGTTTACATATACCTTGTAAAATCTAGTGCCAAAAGTTGTCATCCAAGATACCTGTCTATATTGTGGACATGTTGACAACTTTTATGCGGTGATCACACAACCCCTGTTGTGTGATCTGATTATAAAACAGTCGAGGGTTTGGGTGGTCTAGTGGTTAACATGTGCATGTGAATTCCAAAGATCTGTCATTGAGTGGTGTGGTTTCGATTCCCTGCTTGTACGTGACAAGGGGTAGGGTCACCTGTCCACCATTGTGGGTTTTCTTTGGGTCTTCTGGTTTCCTCCCGCTGCTTGTGAATTATCGAAATAGAATTGAATCAAATGTCAGTCCCGAGTGGACGTTATACACCATATCTCTCTCTCTCTTTCTATAAAACATAGTTGTCAGTGCTCCATATGGTTCATTTCTAGCATTTTCCTGCTTGAAAACATACTTACATTTTCTATCGAACTACTTTGTTCTCAATTTAGTGGATTGGACCTTCAACTGCTAAACTTTCTGACCTTTGAACTTGAACTTTAACACAAAGGTTATCAGATCAGGGCAGGTCAACAAATTTCACTGATCAAAGGTCATGACCTCGATTACAGCCTTTACTATATCAGAAAAAAAAACCATACCTTAACACATGTAACAGAAGCGATCTGAGTCGGTAGAAACAGTCAATAATATTCAAGCCATTACATCATTTTCTTCCTTCAACACAGAAGAACGTTTATTAGCAGAACTTGAAGAGTTGTCAGATCTACAAACAGGAACAAGAATAATTCTCTATAATCTTAAAGCGTAAGTTTATTATCATACCAACAGTGCTTGGCAATCAAGACTACTTAAAATTGGGGCCATCCGCTGGCCCAGAGCATTGATTATGGGCTTGTCATGTTAATAAATGTTTAAATAAAAATTTATATACCATTTGAAGCCAGAAAATAGACCATGCAGTTGGCAGATTTGGCTCTTACATAATGCATCTTAAATTAGTTATACTTTATGTTGGTAACCAGAAGCCACGATAGCTACATGTATGTGAGTAAGACGCTTGGCTCGCTAGCCTGGAGTTCGTGGGTTCGATCCCAGTGTAAATCGGGATTTTCCAGGGACGTTTCACCTTGTCAGTGGTGCAGGATAGAGGGTCTGACAAGGACAGCCGTCTTAGTCAATCGGATGGGTCGAGAAACAGAGGTCCCATGTACACATCGGCTTGCACATAAAAGATCCCTTGGCAGTTGGAATCCGATATAAGAGTAGGCTGTAGTGCTGTTGTCTGTTAAACCCCATTTCATTATATTTGTTGGGAAGCATGGTGGTTCAGTATGTACTGTAAGGTGCTGGCTCACTAACCTGGACGTTCCACGTCTGCTGTTGCCTGAAAAAGTTCACAGGATTTTTCAGTCCTGGTTTCCCATTGTCAGTGGTGCAGGAAGGAGATTCTGGCAAGAAACAGTGTCTAGTTGTTTGGATGGGACAAAAAAACGAGTTCCTATGTACATGTTGGCATGTTTGTAAAAGAACCCTTGACAGTTGGATCTTTAATGGACAGTGGGCAGAAACGCCACTGTCTGGGCAAAATATCTCTCATAGCAGGCATTGCGGCATGTGCCTGTCTTAATCAGACCAGTTGGTGTAGAAAATTAGGACGTTAAGCAAACCCCCATTTCATTTCATATTTTATGCCTTAACTGTGCCATCATGCACATTTTTTTTTCTTTCAGTTTTAAAATATAAATATTATTTTAATCAATAATTTGTCGACTTATATTAAAACACAATTTATATGGAAAACAATCACTGAGTTTATTTCACACTACATTTCATAAGTTCCTGTTGTCGTTTGCAAGTAAGCAATGTGAACTAAATTGTGTTTAGTTTTAGTATTATATTCAATTGCTAAATGCTGTAGAAGGATTTTGTCGACTTATAGGAATCATTTATTTTCCAGAGACAACACAGGAAAGCTTGAGCTGGATTTTGAGAGTGATCCAACAGATATATTGAATCCACAGACTTTAGAAATTGATTTGACATCTGTGTATCGTCCTGTACAAGAATCTGTGCCATTGTACTGTATATCTTTAAGAGTAGGTACCATTCGATTAAAACTTTTTATGTAAAAAACATAAAAATTTTGATGGATATTTGGCAAATTATTTCTTTAATGTCTATTTTCGTATGATGCTTCCTCACTATCCACGAGATCACAGGTTTGATACAATTGTTGGTCAAGCATCACTGTAATCCGGGCATTATTTAATCTTGTGTATTTATCAATTTCTTTCACATTCATTCAATATCAATTCTTTGTTTAAAAATTTGTAAAAAATCGTTTAAAATCACCAAAATCATCTAATTTGTACTTGCGTCCAGTTTAAAGCGGATCATTTAAATTTGATAATGAGTGTCTAATTTACAAGCATTTAAATTCTCGATCACTGTTAAAAAATAAACAACCCAATTGGTTATTGGTGTATAATGATTAAATTCTTGTAAATTGGATGGATACTCATTATCAAAATTAATCAGTCAGCTTTAAACTGTACTATACAGTTTAAAGTACAAATTAGATGAATTTGGGTGATTTTAAATGATTAAACAAAGATTTGATATTAAAGGAATGTGAAAGAAATTAGTGCTTGATACACAAGATTAAATGATACCCGGGTTACAGTGCAAGTTCCTCAGTATTTTATTTTTCCAGCCAGTCGTGTATGACAAAGACAGCTGTTTTGTCTTTTAGATGTCATGAAAAACGTCTGCTGGTATTCATTAGCCAGGCTGGTGCAGAATATTTGGATGTTAAACCCCATTACATTTCATTCATTCTTTAATAATATGAAGGTGATAAAAGCAGTATTCGAGGGGTTGCTTTAGATCATAAGGCCTGTCATTGAGTCAAGTGATATGGTTTTGATTCCCTGCTTGTACGTGACAAGAGTAGGTCCCCAGTTTTCCTTCCACGCAAGAGAATCATTGAAATAAAATTGAACTATATGTTAGTCCTGAAATGACCTTGTGAAGTGTTCATTAATTTGGAGTGGGTAAGATACAGGCTTGCTGACCAGGACATTTCAGGTTTACTCCATTTCATCCATTTCATTTTACTTTCTGGGTTAATTCTGCCAGAAATATGCCAGAAATGCTGATTGATTAAAATGGCCAATAAACACAATTACTTTATTAATTTCAGGAATATTGCAGTATTTTATTTTTAAAACCAAGGATGAAGATTGTGTTACGAGGAAAGAAAGTTAAAACCAAGTTAATCTGTAAAAGTTTATCTCAAACTGAAACTGACAGATATAAACCACATTGGCTTGTATCCTTTAAAAACTGAAAAACAAACTTGACTGGGGAGCCGTGGTGGGTCAATGAGTATGATGCTGGCTCGCTAAACAGGGGGTCTTGCATTTGCTCCTGGTGTTAGCAGAGAAAGTTTCTCAGGATTTTTGGATGCAATTTTTCCTTGTCAGTGGTGCAGAATGGAGAGCCTGGCAAGGACAGTGTCTAGTTGTTCAGATGGGATGAAAAACTGATGTCCTGTTTACACATTGGCGTTCACGTAAAAGAACTGTCTCGAACAACACTGTCATGAATCCGAGATCTCCTGGTTAGCTTGCCAGAAGGTCATGAGTTCAATCCGAGAAAGTAGCTTGGAATTGGCTCCCCATTCTCAGTGATGCAGAATTGAGGGTCTGACAAGGAATAGTGTCTAGCTGATGTCCCGTGTACCCGGTGGCATGCACGTAAAAGAACTCCTACCAATTTTAATTTTGAAAGAAAGGTAGGCATAGAATCGCTCTCCAGGCAAAATTTCCATCATGTATGCACCTTCTGTCATATACCCGTCTTCATTAGCCCTAGAATACTGTCACAGTTTGACATAGATTTGAAAATTGAGATTTTAGCTTCAGGTGATGTTTTGTTAATACCATGAAATATGATATATAAATTGTCAGTTTGCATATGAAGTCATTGCATAACCGATATCATGCAGTCAGTGACTATTTTAGAATCCAAATGTTTATGCTTCTTGACCAAAGTCCAGGATAAACCATTGAAAATAACCTATGGCTTTACTTGTTCGGAAAGTAGTAATGAAGAATATGGTATTATGATGTACCACAAAAATCGACTGATCAAAGCCTTTGAAAAGGTTGGTTACCAGAAACAACCCAATGACCTTGGTGTCGGTGTAGTTGGAGTTGTAGAGGTCAATTTTTTACAACCAATCCACAACAAACAAGATTTTAACAAAGATGAGCGTTACAAGTAAGTATGAACTAGCAAGTGTGTTGGACCGTGCACGGATCTGGCATCTACATCATTCCTTTTATCGAAATTTCCAGCGATAGACCCCGGATGTGTGCACTTGCCAATTGTCACTACAACAGTCAGTATGGAGATCTGATATAATTGGGACCCCTTCTGCTAAAAGTCTTTGATCCGCCTCTATCAGAAATGGCATCTACAGCGTTCCATTTATTCAAATTTTATGCGGTAGGCTCCTTAGACCTCCTGTCATGTACTTTTTGCACCTTTAGTGCTCGCTCGTTGTCACTGCAACAGTCAATATGAAGATGAGATCTGATACTTTCGATGCCAATCTTGATCCGCCCTTGCGTGAATCTTTAGTTTTGTTTTTTATTGGTGGATAGAAAATGTATTCTAATGAAGATCACATTAACAAAAAAAATTCAATTCTTTTCACTTCTTCTGTAACGCTATTCCTTGTCACATACAAGATGGGATCGAAGCCATACCTCTGTGATAAACTTTATAATCTGTTGATCTAATACACAATGTGAGACCAACTGACCACCCACCCCAAATATCCTGAAAAAGATGTAACCTTTGTTCAAGAATAATGATAACAATTTGTAATTTTTAAATTGAAACTATCTGTATTCCAGTACTTTTATGTCAGCATTAGCGATTAA